GTGTTTGGAGTTGGGATCCTAGGTCTATGTTCCAAAGATGGAGTCCTCACCCGGCCATTGTGGCTCAGTGGTTGAGTGTCGGCCCATGCACCAAGAGGTCACCGGTTCGATTCCGTCAGGGCACATGCCCAGGTTGTGGGCCAAATCCCCAGTGGGGGGCATGCAGGAGGCGGCCAGTCAATTTTCTCTCTCATCGATGTTTCTCTCTCTCTCTCTCCTTTACTCTCGATCTAAAATCAATAAAGGTAAAAAAAAGAAAAATGGAGTCCTCTCTTTTAGGACAGAGGGACCGTCCTGTGGCTGAACTGCCAGGAACAAATATGAGACTTGTTCCTTCTAGCCCTACTGCTGGTGTTTGTAAGTCTGATGTTATTTTCTCCAGATTTCTTTTTTTTATCCTCACCCGAGGATATTTTTCCATTTTTGTACAGATAGAGTGGGAGGGAGAGAGAGGAAGGGAGAGAGAGAGAGAAACATCGACGTGAAGGGACACATCGAGTGGCTGCCACCCGCACGACCAACCAGGGCCGGGGACAAACTGCAACCGAAGTACGTGCCCTTAGCGGGAACCGAACCCGGGTCTCTCCGGACCACAGGCCGACGCTCTAACCGCTGAGCCAAACTGGCCAGGGCTTCTCCAGATTTCTTAATTCTTCATTCTTGGCTTTACAGTTTACTCTGCATACTAACATTTAATTTCCCTATTCAGTTTAAATTTTGAACTGTGATTTTCAAAGAATATTCTTACCTACACTGAAGTTCAGTAACCAAGATTATAGAATTCTGTTTAGACAGTGTAATTCTTGCAGTATTTCTCCAGTGTTGAGAAAAAAAAAAACTAATGAATAGTATTTACTCAATGTTCCTTTTCAGTTTTCCTCTTATCAATGTTTCTTAAGTATTTTGAAGCCTGTTTTATCAGAAAAATACCTCATTAAGATTGAAATAATTTCCAGCAAACCTAAGTGTTTGATGGCCCAAGATGAAAAATTTAGGTTTGGGAGCAAAGGGCTATGTATTGTTTAGTGGTGGCAGTGATGTTGAAAAAGGAAAAAATAATGAGAATTTACAGTGGTAGAAAGTCTCATTCTCCCTTGCTTCAAACCATTATATGCTCCTTTTTTTCTCACTTGACCATGTCATTTTCTCCTCCTGTTATCAACTTACTGTTTTCCTGCATTTTTGTGGGGCTTGGGTTCCTCATTCAGCTCATAAGAGCTGAGGGAGTGAGTCATTCCCCATGATGTGCGGTAATGGGAACCTTTTTGGCATCCCACGTTGAATTTGATTGTGCTTTTATGGAGCAGCATTGCACTGTATTTGGTGATGTGGTTGTATACTGGCATTATTATTGTTCTAGGCATATCATGAAACAAGTTGATTTTTATGTGCTGACTTGCATATTTAACCACTGTGTTTATCTTTGTTTCTATGGAAAAGTCATGGTTTTGAAAGGTTTTTGGAAGAACTGCAATGTGTTAAGACATTGTGTTTGGTATTTTGTGAATAGTAGATGTTGAGATATTCTCCCTGCCTTTCAGCATCTTATAGTACATTTGTTTGATGTTTATGCTTGATGAGAAGAAATGTAAATATTGACTAGATCAGTGGTTCCTAGATCTTTGAATATCCTGGGCAAGTACAATCAATGTAAAGTATGAAACACACAGGACTATTACATTTTTGCTTTTGAAAATAAGACTTTTAAAGAAAACTGCTGTCACTCTGGCCAGTTTGGTGTAGCAGTTAGAATGTTGGCCTGTGGACCAAAGAGTCACGGGTTCTATTCTGGTCAGGGCATGAACCTTGGTTGAGGTTCAGTCCTAAGCCCTGGTTGGGGTTGTGCTGGAGGCAACTAATCGATGTCTCTCTCTCACTTTGATGTTTTTTTCTCTCTCTCTTCCTCCCTCCCTCCCACTCTGTCTGAAAATCAATGGAAAAAGATCCTTGGGTGAGGATTCAAAAAAAAAAAAAGAATACTATTTACCTGAGTATTATTTCACATATGAAATAAAATATTGATATCAAAAGAGTAGGTCTGAAATAATTTCAAAATAGGAATAGTCTTTTCCTAAAAATGTTAACTTGGTAAGTATATAGTGTTGTGTGTGTGTGCAGATTCCATGGTTATTATTGTATAAATCTTGGCACATATCATTGACACCTTTTGTATAGATTGGGGTTTAGGGAACCATTGATTGAGAGTAGGGGTCAGCAGACTTTTTCTATAAAGGATCAGATACAAAATACCTTATGCTTTGTAGGCCATATGATGGTTGCAACTGTTTAGCTCCACCTTTGTAGTGGGAAAGCCACAGAAATAGATAAACTACTTTGTGTGGGTGTCTTCCAGTAGAACTTTGTTTACAAAATACATGGCATTGGGCTTTAGCTGACAGAACCCTGATCTGTACACACTTATCTCATTTCATGAATAAGAGGTCCAGAGACCTTAAGTAACTTGCCTAATCAGTAAATGGTATGCAAAAGTTATTCATATGTTTGAGTCAAATAAATGTTTTAAAATGTCCCTGACTATATAAAAGAAGTTGGATTAATTTGGAAAGAAAACTTATTTATTACGACACAATTCCTTTTCTCCTGGGGTTCACAGTTGACTTAATGTCAGCTGTGTTTTTTTACTAATTGTGTTTAACCCTACTATATTGAGATTGTCCTCCTCTGCCAGGTTTACTCATTTGGTATTGCATGTGTATTATGTGGAAGCCTCTGTCTCAGTCATGTTGACTCAAAAATGTTTCATTAGCAGAATCTGATATTTTTTAAAGGAATGGTTCACCTTTTGGATCTTATTTCTCTTAGCTTAAAAAAATATGGCAGGGTGAGCAGATTGTACTGCTTCTCTTGCAACATTTGAAACCAATTTTAGGATTCTGTTTTCTGCGTTTTAGGGCTAGTGACATAATAGAGTAGCATAAATCGCTTATTTGAGCTCTCCTTTGAGAATAGTTTACTCACCACTAAAGGATGGCTAAGTTGTTTTTTTTTTCTTTTTACAGTGAACTTATGAAATCTGTTATAGCCTCTGATTAGCCCTTTTCCAAATCTGATTCTCCAAACCTGATTGATATGTGCAGAGTTCTGGTACTACAAATCATATTACTTCCAAGAAATTTTCAGTTGAATTTACGATGATGATCTTGTGACATGATGAGAGTAATAATAGAGCTGGCATTATTTGACTGCTAAAGTACCAAGGATTTTTACCTGTATCAACTACCTTCATATACATTTATTTCTTTCTTGTTACCATGACTCAACTAACTATTCAAGCCCCCACCAAAGGCCAGTCTTTCACTTGTGCAGTAGATCCCACCATGTACCCATTTAAGGTTGTTACTATAGCGGTTCCCTTCTCAGTTCTCTGCATTGTCATCGTTTTTTTCTCCCTCTGCTGGATTAGTCCCATCAACATGCAGGTGTACTGTTTCATTCCCATCTCTTTTTAAAAAAAAATAAAGGTTTGGCCCTGGCCGGTTTTCTCAGTGGTTAGTGCGTTGGCCTGCGGACCAACGAGTCTTGGGTTCGATTCCAGTCAAGGACATGTACCTCAGTTGTGGTTTGTCCCTGGCCCTGGTTGGGGGCATATGGGGGTCAACCAGTCAGTGTGTCCCTCTCATGTCGATGTTTTTCTCTCCCTCCCACTGTATCTGAAGATAAAGAGAAAAATATCCTCAGGTGAGGATGAACAAAAAAATGAAGGTTTGGAGGGGGGCTTCATATTCTTGTCCAGCTATAGTCTGTTTTTCTGATTCCCATCATAGCAAAACTTTTTAGAACAAGAGTTATTTATACTCACTTTCTTCATTTTCTTTTATCTCATTCATTATTGAATGTACCCTAATCAGGATTCATTCCCCCAACCTACCTAAACAACTTTTGTCAAGCTCACCAGTGAATTCTGATTTGCTAAATCTTAGTTGACATCTCAGCACCATTTGACATAGTTAAGCCCTTTCCCCATTCTTGAACCATTTTCTTCATTTCAGCCACTCTCTTGGTTTTCTTTTTATTTCCTTTCCAAGTTTTTCTTCATACCTATGACCTCATAATTTAAGTGTTATCCATATTGTAGTAATTCCAAAATAGATGACTGTTCTCTGACTACAGACTTGTGTCTCTTCCTGACTATTTGATATCTCCATTTGAAGGTCTAATAAGAATCTCAAGCTTTACATGTCCAAAATTGAACTCTTGTTTTTTTTGTTTTTTTTTTTTGCCCTCAACTCTAAATCTTCCTCCAGTTTTCCTTATCTCAGTAAGGAAATAAATAGCACAATATATAACACTTTAATTCTTCCACAAGACAAAAAAACCTTGAGAGTTTTCTTTGACACTTTTTTCTTTCGCATACCCACATCCAATACATCAGCAAATCGCTAGGTTCCATCTTCATAATATCCAGTGTCTGATTCCTTCTCACCACATTTACTCTAAGCACTGTGGTTTAATAGTAAACGTAATAATAGTCAAAGTTTTGGAAAGTTAAAAAGTAGGACATTTGCTAAGCTGTAATGTTGGCTTTCTGGGGCAGCTGTTCTCCATATGTAGGGAGAAGAATTAGACGATTCCCATCCCCCAAGATAATCATATATATTCTCCTGCTCCTGACCAAACCCACACACAAAACACACTTTCACATACCCTGGTTGAGAATCACTGTGGCAGGTAATGGGCCTCCAGAATAGAGTTCTTTAGGCAGTGCTATGGTATGATCAGTGTTTTGGAATGGTAACTCTAGTGGCAATCAGCAGGGATTGGTTATTCATTTGTTTCCATATTGGATGTTAAAGAAAAGATAGGTATTTATGAGTATTTAGGAATCATTCCTTGACCACTTTGTTAGCTGGAGGGGAAGAAGAATGCTTGTTTTTGTTACTTTTTTAAACTGTTGGTACAATGACATGGTGCCATTTTTATTCTTATAGTGATTGACAAAATAACTGAATGCTTCTTTTTCTTTTTTTCTAATTCTTTAGGAACGCCTTTTTACCCAAGTCAGCCAGTGTATCAGTCAGCACCTATCATAGTGCCTACGCAGCAGCAGCCCCCTCCAGCCAAGAGAGAGAAAAAAACAGTAAGAGATTTTTATTAATTTTTCTTATTTTAAAATTGAATGTCATTCTGATTGTCAAATCAGTTTACACACAGTTGTAATCATTATTCATCTCAGTTCACAAATGACTGCCATTTTTTTGTTCTTTTATATCCTCACCACTACATCTAGGGCATTTGTATAAGCATTTAAATAGAAGTTGCAGGTACAATTTGTTTATTATCAATTTTCAATATGCATGGTGCTAGGTGTGCTAAGTAACAACATGCCCTCCAGCTTCAGAGCAGGGAGGGTTTATTCTTCTAATGTCTCACTAAGTGGGAGGAATTTGAGCTCAGTTCTCTCATTCATATTGTCCTTTAACTCTAATCCTGGTCATTTTTACATTCAAATATGAACTGATGGGGAAAATTAGCATAAGATAAAATGAGCAAAACTTTAACATCAACAAGAAAAATTCTTCCTGTGGAAAATACTTATTTTAAGAAACAGAAAGCAGAATTTAGAAAATGTATTATAATTATTTTTAGTAAGTTATAGGGCTTTGCCTCTTTAGTAAAACAGGCCCAAGAGAATTAGAGTGCAGTCATAAAATGTACATTGCATGAAGGAAGGTGAAGGAATTAGCTAAAGAACATATATGCGTAGCCCGTGGACACAGACAATATTGTGGGGAGGGCCAGGGAGGAGGAGGGGGCTGAGTGGAGGTGGGCAAAGGGGGGAAAATAGGGTATATATACAATAGAGTCAACAATAAATGTTTTTATATTAACGAAAAAATGCTTAAGCCAAAAAAAAGAAAAATTCACATTGCAGAACATTTTGTAGAAGAGTGGCTTGAATCTTTTATTCATCAGAACACTCAAAATGATTGATGTTTACAAGAGACTCCTCCCCCATTCATACAGATAAGATAGGTGGATAAGGCATCATAGCAATACTCTTGAAAGTACTGTCATTTAATAAAAATTAGTGAAGTTCAAAACTTTGGCTCTTTATGATCTGAAACAAATTACTTGTGCACACATCCTAGTAAACAGGACATGCCAGTATATTATGACACTAAAGTTGAGAAACGAGGCTTTAGAAATGTTGAAACAGCATGGTACGTGTTGGAATTGAAGAACACTTTCAGGATGCAGAAAATTAATAAAGGAGCCCGACCGGTGTGGCTCAATGGTTGAGCATCAACCCACGTACCAAGAAGTTGCCAGTTCTATTCCTGGTCAGGGCACATGCTGGGGTTGCGGGCCTGATCACCAGTAGGGGGCGTCCTTAGATGTTTCTGTCTTTCTCCCTCTCCCTTCCTCTCACTAAAAAAATCAATAGAAACATTTTTAAAAAATTAATAAAGGAGATAATGAAAATGGAGGATAGTAATAATAGATGTTACTGAAGAAGAAAGTAGAACATATGAATTAGAAGCAATACTTAAAACTGTGTTAGAAATAAGCTTTCAAATATGAAAAAAACTAGATGATATTAGAAATCTTACTGAAGAAACTACTTCTAAAAAAGCTTTCAGATCCAGATGATTTTACTAGTGAATTCTTTTAAATTTTCAATAAGCCAGGGCTACTTTGAGGTAATGATAAGCCTTTATGTCTCAGCACTGTTCCAGGATGAAAGACCTAGACCCAGGTACTCCAACTGTATTATAGAACCATGTCTGCTGACATCTGTAATTATAGTCGCCTTTAAAAAAATAAAAGAAGAAGACCATAAACATTGTTGTACATCTTGCATATTTTCACTTATCAGTACATCTTGATGATTATTCCGTATCAATACATGTAGATCAATCTCATTCTTCCTACTGGCTGTTTGGTATTTAATTGTAGGGATATGGCATAATTTTTTAATTACCATGTTCTTCATCACCCTTTAAGATATTTCTGTGTCTGCTGAAAAAAACATTGTGCCCTGGGTGGTGTGGTTCATTGGTTAGAGAGTCGGCCCACACACCAAAGGGTCACGGGTCCAATTCCTTGTCAAGGGTGCGTACCTGGGTTGCATTTTGTCTCTCACATCAATGTTTCTCTCTCCCTCTCCCTTCCTACCCCCTCCCTTTATTCCACTGTCTCTAAAAATCAATGGAATAAATACTCTCAGGCCAGCCCATGTGGCTCAGTGGATTGAGCATCGTGCCATGGACTGAGAGGTCCTGGTTTGATTCCTGGTCAGGGCACATGTCTGGGTTTCGGGCTCGATCCCCAGTAGGGGGGTGTGCCGGAGGCAGGTGATTGATATTTCTCTCTCACATCAATGTTTCTCTCTCTCCCCCACCTTTCTCTTTTTCTAAAAAATCAATTAAAAAAAATACTCTCCAGTGAGGATTAACAAGAAATCCACAATGCAGTGAGAATTCTTACACACATATATAAGATTATCTACAACATAAATTCTTATTTCTGAGTCCTAGGATATGTACATTTTTTCATTTTGTTGGAGAACCATTTAAGGCCTTTAAAACTTTATTTTACAGAGTAACTTTCATATTTTTAAACTTTTGCGTGAATCTTGTCTTATGTTAAGCATTGTTAGTAAAATCACTCAATTTGGCAATGCTTACAAGATAAATGTTACTCCTTTGTCTATTTGACCTAGAAATTATCTAAGTCTCATTTAGCCTATTATTTTAATTAGTTCATGTCAGAGCTAATGGCCTAAATTTCTTTAAATGACCCCATATAGTTCTGTGATTGAAGTAGAATGAAATGTGATTTTCAGCTTCGATATCTGACAAGTTTTCCAGTTTTGCACCTATAGTACATTATATGCCTATAAATTTACTACATAGACACCCATCTGTAAATATGACATCTTATTGTAACCTTATAGATAAGAATTCGGGATCCAAACCAGGGAGGTAAAGACATAACAGAGGAGATTATGTCTGGAGGTGGCAGCAGAAATCCTACTCCACCCATAGGGAGACCCACATCCACACCTACTCCTCCCCAGGTAAGTCGGAGTGAGCCATGATGGATGATGGTGTGTACTTGTATAGTATAAATTCAACCGAATTCTTTTCTTTTTCTTTTTCTATAGCTACTTTCTGTACTTTCCATTTCCATCAGTTGTCTCATAGCCTCGAATATCTAAATGATATTTAAACAGACATATTGTTTTTCTTTACAAATTGTTAAAACTAGATTTTTATTGATAATTTTTCTGTGTGTTGTGTTCAAATTCAGAGCATAGCTGCTGCCACTTTTCCTAATGAATTATTGCATGATACCAAAAGGAGCTGCATTTCTATGGAAACATCATCATTAAATCAATGTTTTATATTTTTAGTATGGAGCCTTAGGAATTTAATGGTACACACTACATTAATGCAAACAATAAGGTTGAAAATTTAAAGATTTGTACCGAACAGTATTATTTGAGATGATTGTGTTACTCAGAGCATAGTTAGATGTATTAAAGGTACACCTCTTATCTTTTAGTACTACATAAATAAGATTCTTGAGTGGAGGGTGTCTTCTTTAATAGTTTACAGAGGTTATTAGTAAATTATGTCAGTTAAACACCTTTTTGTTCCTGTTGCAGAATGTGGTAGTCTCTGGGTGACATTATCTCAGTCTTCCATCATCTAAATAAGTATAATATATAACTATCTAGGTATGTGAATTGTAAGATCATATTAATGATTGGTAATAGGACTTTTCACCTTTTCCCGTTATTTCCCCAAGGATATTTCAAGTCTAGAATAATCAAGGTGGCCTTATATATATTTAATCTTATCTCTGGAAGGAAACATGGGACAAGCAGCATTTACACATTTAAATGATCTATTTACGTACTCTGTTAGGTAGGGGCATACTATAGCAAAAATTTAGCATGGGTTGTTCATGGCAGTTAAATTTTGGTATTTTTCCACATTAATTAAAATGTTGTTGTCAAGCCATATGGTTGACAACCTTTTTGTTGATTTCTATTGAAATTTTCAACTTGAACATATGGTAGTATATCTTTTTAATTTCCTGTGAGGTTGGTTTGTTTTTCTGTGATGTTCAAGCATAATCCCACCTTCTTCTGTTACCCTTTTGTCCTTAGCCACAGAAATCCTTTTGCTCTTTATCTTTCCCCACAGACCCCAGGCCTGAATACAGTATATGCATTTGTGTAAGCATAAAGCACATTAAATGTACATTTTATGTGATAAAGGCCTTCAGTCAGTAACTATAATGTTGGTAGTACTTTTTGAGTTGTGATGTTATCATGAAGCATCAGTTTATTTTTATTAGTTAATTAGTCATTTAATCCACCATTACCAATCTATTCCAAATGCACGAAATTCATGGAATGAACAAATAGCTTTTTTTACAGACATACACACTAGAAATATTTCACTTTCCAGAAATTCATAAGAGAGTAGTACATATAGAGTAGGAAAGGACATCTCTGGTTACTAAGGGAGGCTCAGTCATTGCTGCCTGAGTCTTATATTTTGTAAAAATGTTGACCCAATCTTTCAAAAGAAGCTAAAAATCTCTATGTAAAAAATCTGCAAGCTTTAAATGTTGACTACTAATTCTACTAACATAGCATTATGGCAGCCAAAGAAAACCCATTAGGTGTAAACTTAAAAGCTGCTAGTTTACCAATTTCAGCCTAATTCTAGATAGATCCTGAGCCACATTCTACTTGGTAATACTGCAGAAGAGACAACCCTTTGCATCAGAATTTATGACTGAATAGTAAACACTGTATTTCTTTTCGCTTTATGGATAACCTGCTTTAAACCACAATACATATACTGTGAAGAGCAAAGCCTTTTTCTGTCATTGAGGTTGTCATAGTCTCTAAGGGAGACAGAGGAAACTTACTAATATGTAACTGGTCCTCCTGTGAAGTGTATACAGGTAATTATTAAAGCAGCAAGTTGACCAAGTGGGACCGAGTTTCAGCTCCAGACTCAAATATGTTTGGTCACAGAAACGTGTCAGTGGTGGTATAAGTGAGATAGTACAGGGGAGAGGTTTAAAGCTTTGCCATAGAATCAGACATACTTGGTTTTAGATCCCTGTTCCACTACTTATTTGTGTAACTTTAACAAAGTCACTTAACATTCCAGAGCCTTAGCTTCCACATTTTAAAAAATGAGGAAAATAAAAGCTATCATATAGAATTATTATAAGGATTAAATAAGATCAAATACTTAAAGTTGCTTAAGCTAAGGGCATAATGAGCATTCAATAAATATTACCTGTATCAGTGTTGCAATTATTGTTACTTTATGAGGCACAGAGAATGACTGGAAGAGTCTGGGAGGCTTCACAGCAGAGATGCCATTTGATCTGAGTTCCCAGATTGGTATTCACGACATGAAAAGAGAGAGGGTAGCCAGGCAGAGGGGCATCAACTGCAAAAGCACATGGATGAAAGGAAACTGTCATTTCAGGTGATAAATTAGAAAGTCAGTTGAAGAAGAGGAAGCCAATTAAAGAAATATTCAGCAATTGGTTACTAAGTAATAATTATAAAAAGGGTTACCATATAATATATCATCTAAATTGAGACAGTTTCAGAAGTGAATGGGAATGCTATTAATCATTTTACTGGGATAAAAGGCATAAAGCTGTATTGTCCAGGTAACGAGGGATGTATGGTTCCCCTAGATGTGAGAGAGAGGGAAGGGTCAGTGGTGACTCTTCAAGGTTAGATGGCTGGATTTGTAGTAACACGTATCATGGATTATACATGAGGATGTCTGAAGAGGTGGATAATGAGTTTGATTTTGGCAAGCATTCAAGCCAAGAAGAGTTAATTGAGGGAAACTGCTTTGGGTTTATAAGAGGAAACTGGTTTTTGCTGCTGCTGCTGCTTTTCTCCCTAAAGATTTTGAATTTGAAATTGTCCTGCATCCTAGGTTTTAAAATGAGCTATTGATTAACTCCTGGAGATTTTATATCTCAAATATATAGAAAATATACATATGTGTATTTATGTGCTTATTAAGATTATCACACGCCCTGGCCGGTTTAGCTCAGCGGTTAGAGTGTTGGCCTGCGGTCTAGAGAGACCCGGGTTTGGTTCCCGCTAAGGGTGCGTGCCTAGGTTGCGGTTTGTCCCCAGCCCTGGTTGGTCATGTGGGTGGCAGCCACTCGATGTGTCCCTTCACGTCGATGTTTCTATCTCTTTCTCTCTCTTACTCTCTCTCCCTCCCAATCTGTATGAACAAAAAATGGAAAAATGTCCTCAGGTGAGGATTAAAAATAAAAGATTATCACAGATAGTGGTTGGTGCTGGATGGACATCATAGAGTACTAGAACACTTTGTGTTGGTCCCTACTTTGTCACTTAGATTTATGACCTTGGGTCAGAACATTGAGCCCTTTAAGCCCCTCTTTTTTTTGTCTCTATAATGAGGGATTGAACTATGTAATCTCAGAGTTCCCTTTTATGTCTTTAATATTAAAGTGGGAAAGAAGGGGAAATTTTTGTTACTTTCTGTCAGCATTAAAATCTCCCGGCTTATATATCTGTTGTTAGCAATTAGGCCCAAGAAATATTTCTATATTTAGAAATGTGCTAGCTGCCTGAAAGTCATTATGGAACCCTGTAGTTAGGTAAAAATAAATACATGATATTGCGTAGTCAAAAATTCCAACATTGCTTCCAAAGGGATGGGGTTGTATATCAAAATCACTTAATTTCTAAAATAAACTATATACCTTTCTTCCTCTCCCGACTCCCTTGTAATCTTTTTTCTTTTCTGTTAGGAATTACTCTTTTTTTTTTTCCTCACCCGAGGACATTTTTTTTTTTTTTTTGTTCAGGTAGAGCGGGAGGGAGAGAGAGGAACAGAGAGAGAGAGAGAAACATCGATGTGAAAGGGACACATCGAGTGGCTGCCACCCCCAGGGCCGGGGACAAACTGCAACCGAGGTACGCGCCCTTAGCGGGAACCGAACCCGGGTCTCTCAGGACCGCAGGCCGACGCTCTAACCGCTGAGCCAAACCGGCCAGGGCAGGAATTACTCTTAATAGTGAAACAGTAATAACTTGGGGAGAGATTCCTGTGCCATAGGGTGTAGGAGCAGAGAAAATGTTTGAAACTCTTGATTGCTGCCACATTTTAGGAAAAATAAAGCCTCTCCTGTCATTTGGAAAAATTCTAAGTCAGCAGGTGACTCAGTTTTTTGAACAGCTTCTTTTGAACTTGATACCTGGAAACCTTAAGAAGTGTAGAGCAGGCCCTGGCCGGTTTGGCTCAGAGGTTAGAGCGTCGGCCTACGGTCCGGAGAGACCGGGGTTCGGTTCCCGCTAAGGGCGTGTACCTCAGTTGCAGTTTGTCCCCGGCCCTGGTTGGTTGTGTGGGTTGCAGCCACTCGATGTGTCCCTTTCACGTCGATGTTTCTCTCTCTCCCTCTCCCTCTCTCTCCCTCCCACTCTATCTGTACAAAAATTGGAAAAAAAAATGTCCTCGGGTGAGGATAAAAAAAAAAAAGTGTAGAGCAGGATTGTTGGATTTCATCAGATCTGTCTCCAACAGGGGTTTGTCTTTTTTTTTTTTTTTTTTAAATTAAACCAAGGTCCTTCAGCGTTAGTGCTTATAGAAATTTCCTAAAACAAGAAAACAAAAATTTGACATAAGGTCACTTTTGAGATACTTTATCTCCTTTTGGAAGCCAATGGAATGAGTATGTTTTAAGTTGTTTTGGCATCTCAGTAATGATCCATTTATGAGTCACGTTAATAACAAATTTTATTATATTTTAATTAATTCTTTGTTTTTACTTGAAGTATGTTTTTTCATAAATCTTCAACAAATTTTGTGAAAGCCTTTGCTGTTATAGTGGTATGGTTTTACCTTAGATATTCTAAATCTGAATCCTAATTATGAAGAAAATGTGACTTAGATTTTTGCATGGATAGCAAAATTCCTCTCTTACCACCACGTACCATCAGTCACACAATGTATTGGAACTTGTAATCATCTGGCAACTATGATT